AAAAAAAAAAAAAAAAAAAAAAAAAAAAAAGTTATCAGAAATATCTGAAAAAAAAGTATGTTATACAGAAAAATAAACTGAACAACTTTTGCCTTGGAATCATATCGAAATTCGCTGCCAATTTTAAAATAAAAAATAAAATAAAAATAAAACCCCTTTTTTTTACTTTTTTTGTGCTTTTAATTGCTAAAAATGGAGTTGTCCGGGCCCGGACGTCCGGGACCCCCCTGACTGTCCAGCCAGGACGTCCTGCCATCGGACAACTGGTAGCCTAGCAAAAAATCAATTTGATAGAAATATAAACTTACAAAAGTTATAAACTGTATTCATTCAAACACGTAAATGCATGTCCATGCAACCCAAGACTATACCAGAACTTTTTCCTTTTTTGAACTTATTCCCGATAGTCAAACCTATTTCACCTCTCATGTTTCTATTTTTCTTAAACTTTTCCCCCTTCCCCATGCCCTTTCTTCACCTGCAGGTTCATCTAAATTTGTCAGTCCTGTTGTTCACCATCCACCTACGATAACGAGTGGGTGAGATGGTGACTGGGTGCATGGGAGGGTGGGTGGGTGGGTGAATGTGTGCTGGGTGAGCGCATGTGTGGGTGAGCCGGTGAGTGGGCATGTGGGTGAGTGGGTGAGTGGGTGAGCGGGCGAGTGGGTGAGTGGGTGAGTGGGTGCATGTGTGGGTGGTCAGTGCATGGGTGGGTGGGTGAGTGGGTGAGTGGGTGAGTGGGTGTGTGGGTGGGTGAGTGTGTGAGTGTGTAAGTGCACGAGTGCACGCATGCGTGTGTGAGTGATCAAGTGACTGTGTGTGTGTGAGTGCATGAGTAAAGCGTGTGTGTGCATGCCTGAATGCGGGAAAGTGGGAGTGAGTGAGTGAGTGAGTGAGTGAGTGAGTGAGGCAGTGAGCGAGTGAGGCAGTGAGCGAGTGAGGCAGTGAGCGAGTGAGCGAGTGAGCGAGTGAGTGAGCAAGTGCGTGAGCGAGTAGAGGGAGGGAAGTAGGTACGTAGGTAGGGAGGGAGGGAGAGAGGGAGAGCACATTGCTCGTCAAGAATGCTGAAAAAAAAGCTTTTATGTGTCTATTTAACATGAGAGAGAGAAAGGTCCTATGCATCTGGCCTCCTCACAATTTCTTCAGAAAGGTAATGGGCCCAGACAATCATACCTCATCAGGAAATTCTGTGTCTGGTGGTCTCTCATAAAATGGGACGCTGGGAACCGGAACAATCTTTCCCAAATTCTCAAGCAGAGTATTCCTGCAAGGAAACAACAACAACAAATTACAGCAATTGCAATTGCAATTGCAAGCAAGATTTTGTTGGAACCCGGGAAAGTGCCAAAAAGTGCCCAAAAAGTGCCAAAAAAGTGCCAAAAAGTGGCAGAAACAACAAAAAGAGTATGGACAGATAGTTCCACATCGCAATATAAAACACTCATCCCCCAACTAAGATGAAGAGAAAGAGATTCCTCTCTCACACCTCCCTCTCAGGTCCCCTCCTGTCGGTGTCCCACTTCTACCACATCACACGTCCTCTGTGCAATTGTACCTCTCCCCCCCCCGCTCCCAACGCACCCCTCCTCCGGCCCCCCGCTTTTCTGACTCGCACTCTGGAGCTCCCTCTCTCCACCGCTCCCTTTCTCCATGTTCCTCTTTCACACCTCCCTTGTAACCTGAGGATTTACAGTCCTCGGAAAACTGGCATTACTTGGTTACTCAGTGTGCAAAACAACGCCAACAATATGTTTACACACGTCCTTCCCCACATTCCTAAGAAGACATTTTCAAGAAACTGAACGACTTCAAAAAGAATGCTGTGACGGCCCGTCACCTCTCCCGGCTGGCGCCTGGGGGTTTAACATTGGGTCTTTCAACGTCAAAATCATGGTTTTACATACCACAATCTAACCAAATTTATATTCATGTACGGATGCGATGAACCACACCGCTCATCACCAATGAGCGCACACATAGACATGCATCAAGCACAAGTGAGATGACACGAATTTCCACACTGGTGGATGCCAGAAAGTCGAAAACCAGATAGCGCAGCTGATAACTTCCAGCAAATTATCACAAGAGCAACAAGAGTTCAAGTCACCAGCGCTCATCAGCGTTTACAAAGGTAATCAGTAACCAGTAGAGGGAGGGAGGGAGGGAGGTAAGTATCTCTCTCCAGCTCTTCTTCTCTCTCTATCTTTCCTCCCTCTCTTC